GCGGTGGCGGTGGCGGTGGCGGCGACGGCGGCGGTGGCGGCGGCGGCGGTGGTGGCGGCGGCGGTGGTGGTGGCGGCGGCTGCTGGGGGTGGTCGTGGTGATGGTGTGGTGGGTGGCGACAACGGCAGCGGTGGGCGGCGGCGGTACTGGTAATGCTGGTGGTAGTCGACGCTGGCGCTGGTGATGCTGCAGATGCTTGGTAGGCTGGTGGCGGTGTGGTGTGGTGGTGGTCGTTCTGAAGTCCTGCAAGGGCCACTGCTTACAGGACACCCCCCCCAAGACAGCTAATAGCTAGCAAATAGCACCTGTCTGACCAGCCAAACTACCTTACGCCTACGAGAGCCCACACCCAAAGCATTAGCTAGCCAGTAGCAGCCTTACAGCAGCCTAATGAAGCCTCAGCCCCTATCCCCCTGATCCTAGTAGAACCCTATGGCCACCTTACCTTGTAATCCTTTTTACCTGTACGTATTTGCTCTTCATAGACCGGCTTCAAAAATGATGGTAATTCTTTACCAAGTAGAAAACATCATTGATCGGGAACTTTTGGGAAGGGCCTGCCGACATGATTTGAGCGGAGTTCTTGCATCAATCCCAGAAAGAGGTTTCAGAGAGCATGGCATCTGATAATGGCCAGCGAATAGATTTGCAAGACTCTGACATTCTTGGTCAAGAGACTAATAGCCGGCGAATTGCGTATTCAGCGGGGCTCTTCTATTAGTTGGCTAATAGACAGCTTCTAGCTGGCTAATAAGCTGAATGGTTTCTGCAACCCTGGCGGGGGGGGGGGTTGCTGGGGAGTGGGTTAAAGAAGCTATGAACTATTGAGCTGTCTTCTAGACTATAGACTCTAGACTCTAGAGATGATCAGCTTGTAAATACCGATGCCAGATTCAGAGCATTTCTCGCTGGTGCAGTTGGACTCGCCACACGCCTCGAAGCCCTCTGCTGAGAAGAGCTTCTCATAGGCTTTCACAGTTGGCTAGCCCTTCTGGGGTGAATTTGTTGCAACTATTGGCTGTGCCAGCTTACTATAGCTTACTCACGCCTGTGCTTCAGCAGAGGCTTGTCCTAAAAGGTGCTTCAATGAAAGTTTCAGGGAAAAGCGATCCTCTTGCTCTACTCAGAGAATGCGGGATTTGCAAGAATCAAGCTGCATCGATTCAGGTACATCAATGGTTGCTACTAGCGCGCGCATGCACTGCATTGCTAAATTTAGCTGCAGCAAGAGCGCCTTCTGCTGCATATGCTGCCACATAGCGGCTCAAAGAGCAAGATCTACAGGGCGTGGACAGTCAAGGACATGGCAGAAAAGCTTCAGAGTAATTACCCGAGTACCCGCACACGCACATGCGAAAGTGCCGCGCCTTATGCCGACCCTTGTTCCGTACAGAAGCTGCGCCGGAGCTGCGCCTGCAGCTCTTGTTACGACGAGTCTAACGGCATTTTACACAGCAGGGATTAGCTGCACCGGATGCTCATCTGGAGGCCTGTTGTCGTTGTTGCACCAGGTCCTTTTCAGAAACTGGGGCTGCCAAAATATTGAGTCCAGTATTGCTTTGACCTCTTGTAGTCACAGTGGCCTTGCTATAAACACCCATAAACGGATGATGCAGGATGAGGAAGCTCTCCTTGCAGGGAGCTTGCCAAGCCACGCCGTGGTGGCGCAAACTCCTCAGCACCACGAGCTGGTTTAGGAGAATAAAGCGTAAACTTTTGCGCAGAATGTGCAGCAGAATGTGCAGCAGCATTGTGCCTGCGGACGGTCTGCTGCGGCCATAGGAAAGCGACCATGGTATGCCAACAAATAGCGACGGTGCAATCGTTTGGGGGCAGTCCAGTTGCCAGATCCTAGCTTACATCTCTGCGTGTCAGCTTACCTTTCTGGCTTCGATGGTGAATCTGCGCAAGACCATGCCCAACTCTGCGAACCATGATGCTTGAATGCCATCTCAGTGACACCTGCCAACAGGCCAGAACAGTTTAGCAATGCTGTAGAAATCAGGGATTGATGAAACTCCATGCAGTCAAGGCAGCCTAGCAGCAACTTGCGCCAAGCAGGGTCCAGAGGGATCGGGGGAAGACATGTGGAAGAAGCCCTGAGCATTCATCAAGTGACTCGCTGGAGCCCTACTGGTTCTTCGAACTCACACATCTAGCAATAGGGACAATAGGCGTCCATTCTGGCCTGGACCTCTAGCATCGAGAGAGTCTCATGGATTGGCATGATGCCAGGGTTTTCATGCAGAACGCCGCTTTTTGCCTGTCTTCTGGCTTGTTGTGGCATGTTATGCCAGTAAGTGCAGCGACCGGCTACTTCATCACCCAGCCGACCATCTCACGCAAAAGCCTGCACGTGCACTGTGCGCAACATTGCGCAAGAATCAGATCACAGCCGCTTCGTCGAAGCATCTAGCAAATTCAGTAGCAGGGAGCCTGAGATGAAAGGTCCTCAGAAGCAGGCTCGCAAAGCCGATTGCCAGGTCAGCTTTAAGAATAAATGGCCGCATAGCATAGTTGGAATGGAGCAGTCCTGGAACTGGGCTTTCATCTTCACCTGCAGCAACGTCCACCTTGCATGCCAAAGTCAATAGTCGGTTGAAGAAAACGGCAAGACCTCTGCACGATTGCAAATGCTGGGGCATCATCATCTGATGCAAATCCTGGACCACTGTCGACTGAGGGTCCTCACAGCTGCTAAGGAGGTAAGCCAATGTGGAAACGCTGCCATAGCTGATATCATGTTGCGCAAGCATAGCCGCAGGTCCGCATCCAGCAGCCGCGTGGAGCCAGGCTGTTCTTGCAACCTGGCGCTGCGTTCTTTCCAACGTACGTCTTGTGCGACCAGCTGATGTGGGAAGGTTACATATCAAAGGAAGCTGCTGACTCGGGAAGCGCGAATCTCAAGCTGGATTCTGTCGAGTTCTTATCAGCGTACACTGGGGCTTCCCACGAACTCAATCACTGCCTATGACTTTCCCATCAGTACCATCTTCCGATAGGAAACTCTCCTGTTGGCTCATGATAATGATAGCTTTACCACTCAATGCCCGAAATAAACTTGCCATTCAAACAGAGACCCTCGAAGCCTATCCGTTTGGATGGAGACAGCGCCATATCCATATCAACCAGATCAACTTGCAAATTGAGGGTTTAAGCTTCACACACAGAAACAAGAGTTGCTTGTCCTTGATCTGAGATACCTTTGCAAATTCTCCGTATCGGTTCTCATGGAGGGGCCCCGGCATTTCAAATATTGTTGCATTGATATTGACCAGCACTCAGAGTACGTGCGGCTTAGGCCTCATGTTGAGACGCTTAACGCACATTCCCTTAAACCCTTTGAAGATGCCAAGCAGCTCCAAACTCAGTTCGCGAGGCAGTTTTGCAAACCGGCTGAAAACCGGGGTGAGCTCAAAGCAGTTTTCGAAAAGCGAGAACCTTGCAGGGCAGGAGTTGCAAAACCGCTGTCCATGCAGAAAGCTGAAGCGTCTTCATGCCTTCCGAAGACATAGAGTCCGAATCGAGCTCTGCTCATGGTGACGATCAAGCGTCGGACATCGCGAAGATGGCCCACGTGCTGCGTCCGCACTAATGAGACCTCAGAAAGCTTGCAGCACGCTCTGCGCTTGTATGTACTTAGCAGGGAATGGTGCACTATATTTCCCTATGTATAAGGCATGGCAAGTTCGCAGTGATCACACGATCCATGCAAGCGGGCTGCAATGATGAAGTCGTTCTGTTGACCCTGGAATTTGTCGACAGTCGTGATTTTTGCCTTGCTTCAGGCTTAGTATTTGCACCCACCCAAAACAACAAAAAAAAGCAGGGGTCACCAAATGTTCTTTTGGTGCTGACACAGCGCAGGCTCCCCGAACAGTGGATTCCATGAGCAACGTGTTCTCACCACGTCTCTGAGCAAGGCCTTTACAAGGAGACCATCCAGGAGATCAGAAAGGCTCAAAGCTTTGCTGCAACATGGCTCGGGTTTGGCATTGCCTTCTGTCCATTGTATGTGGACAGAATGGAGATCTTCTCGGCAGGGATTCCACAGAGTCGCCTAAAATGTGAGCTTGTCCAGATGTTTGGCCCAACAAGGTTGCAAGGCATTACAAGAAGCTATTTCTGAGGCAGGACACATATACATGAATAGTGCCACGCAGTATTCCGCTTCGCCCAAGTTTTGATAGAAATATGGAGTTGGCTGTGATTCTCCGCGACCTTCGAAGTCTTCCACATTGACGAACTGATACCTTAGCACAGAAGAGCACTGCTACAAGTACCAGCAAGCATTTCAGTCAGTGGATTGAATGTTGCAGTTGAGTGCTAAACCTGCACAGCCCGTACAAATCGGTAGACAGCAGCCTAAGCAAAACAACTTGCACACGCCTGTGCCTTCCCGTCAAGCCCATTTGGAGCGTTCCGATCAAAACGCCAGCCCCGAAACAATTTGCAATTGCTTCTGTCTTGAAAACGTTCAAGCGGCACATTAAGCAACTGATTCTTACAGATGTTCCCTATACCAAGACTCTCACCTAAGGCAGACTTCAATCAAGCGAGGAAAGCACTGATCTCAGCACCACTAGGCTACTTTTTTCACTCCGCCAAGCTACACGTATGTCAGTCCTGGATTGGTATACCGGTACCTGGTGAACAACAAATCGCGCGCAACCTCTTTCAAAGCGTTTTGCAAAGCTGTGCGCCTGTCGTCGGTCAGCACGTTGGGCAGATTGCCTAGATCTCTGTATCGCCAGCTATAGAGCTCGGCAATGCTTGGCCTTCCAAGTCGCGCTGCAGCTTACACGGAACCATGATTCATTGATGCTCAGGACTGATGCAGCTTGAGAGATTTGAATGGGTCCCGCCTTGCTCGACCCTGTAGGTTGAGGTCTACGGTCGGAGTCTTCAGGCGCACAAATCGGGCATATAAGGACTGATCAAGGTGTCCATACTTCCTCAGCATGTACGAAAATTTGACCATTGGATTGTTTGTGAGCAACATTGTTGTGCGTTGTTTTGCAACAGGAATACTTCACGGTGCACGCTGCCACCTAGAGACAAGCAAACAATGGCCGCACATTTGCCAGGGCACGCTTTGCCTCTCCTATATACTACACGGAACGCAACAAGGAACACTGTGCAAAGCCAAAGGGCTGGAAAGCACGGTTCTTGACCACTGGTGGCAGTTGGTGGTGGTCCCCAATGAGCATCACACGTTTCAACCTCTCCGGGCAACGTCAAAGGTTACAGCATGCTGCAAAAAATCACCTGTTACCTGGTCACATGACATGTTAAGTTCAAACGAGACAAAGCCCAGGCATTTCTCCTTTACTCGCAGTCTCCCCGCATACAGATGCCGATTAGCTTCTTCTGAGGACAATGACAGAGCTGCTACAAAAACTCATGCTGCAGCAACAAGGGTACTTCATACTGGCATGCCTGTTGGCTAAGGGTGCCCTTGCCAGCGTTCCAGTCAAGAGTACATCAGCCTTCTGCCACACAACACGAGATGGTGGAAGAACCACGTGATTAAGGAAGCAAATAAGCAAGCAAGCAAGCAAGCAAGTAAGCAAGCAAGCAAGGATATAGTCCCCAAACAACGTTATCAACCGTTTGTTGCTTGTTTATGTGCAGCTACAGCGGTGACTGCTGCGCGGTCAGTTGTAGCTTTGCTCGACAATGGAGTACATCCTGTATGATTCCCCTGCCTTGTCTTGGGGCAAAGCCACGGAAACACTCCCCATCACTTAGATGATCTCAGCACTCGAGTCGCACGAGAGGCCCAACCACCCTCTAATCCATGTTCCAGATTAATAAAACCATCTACAATTACAGCAAACAGTTTGGAAAATCTATGCGGCCAAGGATAACTTTAAAGGCAGCGGCACTTTTGGGTCCAAAAAACCCTAGAATCTATGGCCTAGATTTAAAGCAAATTATCCCCGGACCCAAAAAAATGCAAAAATCTAATTAGAAAATCTATTCGCTGGTCGTTCAAAACCCTGTTGAAATCAAAGCCATTGAAGCTCAAACCCGTCTGACCCCTAGAACAATGGGCTGAGGTTATTACTCGAGCAGGGATTAGTTGCCAAACCCTGTATCATCATCCGAAACTGAAACCCATACTATGGCACCGGAAATGCTCATCACGCAGCTTCGCGGTGCCCTGGGACAAATGAAAGCAATCCCCGCGATCCTGCTGACTCCGTTCTCCGCATTCTGCAAAAGCATTGGTATGAAGGTTTCCACCTCCAAGATCTGCGCAGACTCTTCCATGAGCAAATTGTCCTGACAAGTTTTCCAGAAGCCCGAAACAAGCCTGGTAGTCGACTTAACGTTACATGATGGATGGAACAACTCTTGTACAGTGGGCACTTTTGACATGTCGAACGGATTTGCTTGTGGCCACCCAAATATACGATGCTTTGAATCCGTGGCCTCTCATGTCGTTTGAGGCCGATAGCGGCAAAACTTGTTGATCTCATTTGTCATGCTGGAGTGTGCTTGAAAACAAAAAACATGGCCCATCTCCTCCGAAGCCTCCATGTAGTTCCCTTAGAAATGCATGTCTATGATGCACAAAAACTGAGGGGGCTGGTTTTTCTGCTCCTGCTCCTTTGCGTAGATAAGTTCGTCTGCTCATGCGTTGGTAGTGAAACGTTTTTGATGCGGTGACATGTCCCAAAGCATTCACAGTCATCTTTCCAAATTGGTCCTTTCCAAAACGTCGTTGGTTTTGTTTTGTTGGCAGTCATGAGTCCTGAGTACGTCAACGTCAGCTTCTGGGTGCTCTGCCAGGGAGGCCTGTGTGGGCAGCGTGGTGCTGACCATCATGGGCTTTGCCTGGATCTATGCGATCAAGTTGAGTTGAGGATCAGGTCTTGGCCGAATCCTCGCACCATCTCGCACTGGTTCGTCTACCTGTCTGCCCTCATTGTTGTTCTTGTTGCTCATCGAGGCTTCTCCATGTTTCATGGACAGCAAGGCAGAGGCCATTACCCTCGTGCTTCCCAGACAAAGTGCTAATTCTGTGCGCAGCAAGGGAGGCCTGTGCCACGTACCTACCCACAGGATTCACCTGTTGTTCATACGTACTCCTTGCGGCGTGCGCTCTGACTAGCTTTTGCGCGTTGCAGACGTCCTCCCTCTTCATCATCATCATCATCATCATCATCGTCATCATCATCGTCATCATCAACACATCTGGCCAAATCTGGCCAAGGCAAAGGTCAGCGGGCATCCATCTTGCGCACACTTGTGGCCAAGAACTGTGGGTCATGTTGTTCAGGATTACGTTGCCTAATTACAACCCCGGCACCCATCGGTTCATAGCAACAATCGCGTTCAATTGCAGGAGATTTCTCATCTGAACAGGAGTGAAACCAACCAAGTGTCCACAGCATGCTACTGCACAGAGCACGTAGATGCTGGCTTACTCCTGCCTGCATCCCTGTGTTAGCAACATCCCTACCCACCCTTTACTGTCAAAACCCGATAACAACAATTTGGATTTAGGAATATTTAGGACTTGAAGCATGTCCGCAAAGATGGCAGCTCTCGTCTTTCTTTTCCCTTCTCCCGTCTCTGCCCTCCTCTTTCTGCTGCTCTCTTCTCTCCACCCCTAGTAAACAAACCAAATAGAAGTATCAACATCCATTTTTGGCAAATTGCTTCCAAGAGTGGCTTTGAATGCGCAATTCGGTCCAATTCCAGGAAAAGTGTGTGTTTCTCCGCTTTGAAGTAGGTTTTTAATGCCCTTCAATAACTCCTGCACAAAAATAAGAGCGCCAGTCCTCCATGAAAACACACTTGGCAATGTTTTCAGTAATGTTTAGGTAGCATTAATAAAGGGGGTGACAATAGCATTTTGTTGCCGGCCCGGGGGAAAATCCCGGACCATCAGATAATTTTGCTTTCTAACAAGTTCGGAGCCCGAAAATGTAAAAACAAGTCCAAATCGCAATAATACAAGGGCGGCAATAATACTGTCCCGATTTTAATAGATTCCCTTCGACTTGTCCTACTAGTGTTACGAGCTGCACTACCTGGTCCTACCCATGTCCCCGTCATTTATTATTGCGACCCCCCCCTTCCGTAAGCCCAAATCGCAAAACAAGTTCTGGGGGGGGAGGGGGGGGGGGGCGGCGGTTTATTACTGTCACCTAAACATTAGAGGGCCAAGGTGTCAGGAATATACTGCTGTCTGCAACCCGAGCGCCCATGACTTCACGAAAATCGCTATCCGAAACACGCTTCAGAAAGCATACGGAGTCTGAAATGGGGACATGCTTGCTGCCAAGAATCGTACTTAAAGGACAGGTTTACCAATGTGGACCTGAGAGAAAGGCAAACAAACATAAAAACGGCACAGCAAAAGGAGGCACAGCAAAATTGTCCGTCAGTGGGACCTTGTCAAGGCAGCGTGGGTGCAGGTCATGGCGATGATGCGAGCGTGCGTTGTGATCAAGTAGTCGCCACGGTCATGGCCTCAGGGCTGCCGCATGGTCAGAGAATCTGAAACAATACGACTCAGCTGCTGTTGGGATGCCATTTCGCAGGAGTTCGAATGCCCTGCACTCCTCGATCTCCCTGAACATGTTCTCAAAATACCTTGGCCCCAGGCACAAACACCGGCCACACTCTCTCACTCTGTCACTCTCTCAGCTGACCTGCTCGTCTTCACTGCCCTGCAGCTGCAAATAACGATGCCTCATGAAAACGCCGCCAGAGGGCCGGAAGCAGCCTTCTGCAACTTCTAAGTCTGCTTCATGGGACTCGGATGGGAAAAGGGGTTGAGGAGCGTCCGCAAAGAACTTGGTGAATGGAAAGAGGAAACTGATGACCGTCTTTCTGCCACTCAGGATCCTTAGCGCGTCGGCAATAGGTGCTCAGTCTGACTTGTACGAATCAATTCCACACCAAGGCGCTGCTCACTCATTTTTTTCACCTCCTCGCTGTTCTCATCCTCTACACGCCTCATCTCACGGACATCATGTGATCACATGCCACCAACATGGCTCCCTTCGCAAATGGATAGGCAAAACTGTTGGCTTGTGACTTGTGCCTCGAGTCTGCATCCTCCTTGGCCTCAACGAACACATCTGATACGGCTCCACCTCTAGCTTGGGAGACCTGCCTGTGGCTCTTCGTCGAGGCGGCGCTTTTTTGCTGCTGGTCCGGTTTGGGTCAGCACCTTCATTGATAGTTGTCCATGCTGCGCTGCTCTCTTCAAAAGCATAGGAGCAGCAACCGTACCTTGTGGATATTGGCGCCATTCTTGCCGGCTATGGCCAACTTCTTGTGGAATTCTTCCCACCGGTAGCGTACATGATGCAAGAAGAAATGCTGGGCGTTCTCGCAGGTGTAGGCGACGTCCTCACGATTTTGAAGTAAGCAGAGCATCTTCCTTCACGTCGTGAAGTCTGATGCCTTCCTTGTCACATCTTGTCACTCTTCTGAATTGGATTTAGCAAGCTAGGCTCAGGTTTGGATGTGAAACGGGCACGGCATTTGGCGGCAGACTTCCAACATCTTCCCTGCAGAAGCTCTCTCACTAAAATTATCTACCCTTTCTTTAGAATGTTAGTTTGTGCAAATGTCTTTCCTATCAGACAGGCACAGTCCTACTCATCCATCATTTCACTGACATGTTGCTGTTTGAGCACACTCTGGCCTCCCTAGCTGTTCTGCAGCATGATGAATCTCCCAGGAGAAATGTGTATCTTTGATGAGAGGCAGGCATCTGGATTGTACGGTACAGAAAAAGATGGGGTTCCTCTGGCAACGACAATTCCCCTTGGCAGAAGCACCTGTGAGCAAGTTGCCACAACCTCAAGTTGAAACCCATTTGCGGAAATTCTTGAAGTAGCAAACTGGAACTGCACAGACCTTCCAAAGCAAATGAGATTTCTCTTCCGATGCGCTGTCCTGGCCGGAAAGGCCTAGAGAGTCCGCCAAGCGCTCCACTTTTGCAAGCAGCTCAATACGGCGCTTCCTCACAACGACACACAGCACTGACGCCTCACTTGACGCAGCCTGGACGGCTAACGCACTTCAGGCACGAAGGACAATGTCTCCAGCGAATAGTATCGAATAGTCTATCAAAAAACTCCAGACTCAAATCTCGTTGACTGCGAACCGGCTAAGGTTGCATCAGCATGTGGTTCACGCGGCCCCACTTGGAGAAGTCTTGCTTCGCATCCAGCTCCTGCAATGCCAACAGAATGCAACATGAGTTCAGTTCAGCTTTAGGGTACGGAGTACTGTCGTGATCGCCTTTGCATGCACAAAGTGTACAAAGAGATATCTACGCCGCGATGCAAAGCTGTGTATGCCAATATGCTGAACGATAATCTGGCGCATGCGTGCAGAAGGCTTGTCTACATTCCATCGCATGCTTGCGGGCAAAGACGCCTCAATTCCGCGACCCAATCTGAGCAGATATCTCTCGGGAATATCCAGTGCCACGATTTTCTCGAAGAGGTCATTCAGAGCTTGATTGGAGTGTGCCACCAACACGATCTTCTGATCCGGGAAATTGTGGAACAACAGGTTCACCACCTGGTCAGGAAAAGGCAAAGCTACGTCTGTCCGACCCTATCCGCAAGTCACTGGCGTTCAGCATGATGGCACAGTCCCGCCAAGCCTGCACTGCAGTGTCCGTCTTGCCTGTGCCAGGTGGTCCCACGACCATAGTCAGACCAGGGTTCACACCTGATCGGATGGCTTCAACCTGGACAGGCGTGAAGCGGATGGAGTTTTCCCGCGGCCTCAGCCAGACTCTGACAGGATCCCAACCTGTTCTTGGGGTCACGGCCTCTGCAACACTTGCCACACCGAAAGCATACCATGAGTCTGAGATCACAGCTTGCATTCTGGATAAGGCCCCATGTTGGGCAGAGTATACGCAGAAGCTATCACTCCTAAGACAAGTTGCCATGTGAGGCCATCTCACCACATCCCATTTGCTATCCATCCCCAAATTGCCCAGCGTCTTTCTGGTGGCCTCTTTGCACTTTGGATGGCAGTGCCCTTCTCAAATTTCAGCTTGAACGGGCGCTTCAAGTCCTCTGGTACATCGATGTCCTCTGCATCTGGAAAGGACTCCTGAAGATGTCGGATACACGTCCCGCCCCGACTCCTACTAGCAGCAGCATGCAAACCAGCCAAGTTGCCAGGATGTGATCTTCGTCCAAGAACGTATCTCCTAAGTGATCGAGAAGGACACGACCAATGACCCGTCTCCCACATGAAGCTGTAATTGCAGGGCAGCTTCTGAAGTCAATCTCACTCAGGGCAGTTGGGAGCTTCCAGTACTGAGCTGCTCCAGGATCTCCATAGCCGAGGAAAAGATCATGCAACCAGTCCTTTGATGCAAGCCACAGCCATGCGGACATCTGCTTTGATCAAAAACTGCTACTAGAAAGGCTGCTATAGGCTGTCATGGCACCGGAACCACTGTGTCCTCGTTGTTCATCAGGCTCCTGAAGCTCAAGACAGATAAGGGGATCCTCAGATCCTCGTCAAAGCTTTCTTCTGGTCGGCTGATACGGAACGGCATTGAACTGTACTGAGAGGAATGCTGTGGCCTTGCAATGAGTGCTAGTGATTGCAAGTGCAAGCATGGTTGCAAGACATGTCAAGACCAGCTCCTGATCGTGTGCAGGATGGCTTTGAAGTTGTTCTCTTTCCTGAAATCTCAGACTGCCACGACTGCACTAAATTTTGGTTTGCTCCGCAGCCATACTGGCCAACAGGCAACTGTCTGGCAACAGTTGTGACAAAGGGTGGTCGACAACATCTATTGGAAGGGCATCCAAAGGTAATATGCGTAACACAAGGCCGAACGTTGAAAACCTCCAAGGGTGGCGCTTCACCCTTTTTGAGTGTAGAGAGATCTGCTGCCCGTACCAAATCTATCAAATCTTAAGATCTGACGAGTTCCTCCAAAGACCGAACCAACATCAAGCGCAATGCGCAGCCACACAGAAGAAAACGTCAGAGTCTGCATTTGCTCAACCTATGTTTCAACGGGGTGCGAGAAAGACACAGAACCGTGGGAAAGAGCACCGGTCCCATGAACCACGAATCCCTCAGCATCGTGGCCCTCCAGACGAACAACGCGCTGTCACAGTTTTGCAAAGATATCGCATGCTACCTATACCAGGTCACACAGCATGTAAGGCATCTCCTTGTCAGTTTGCGCAAATCGTCAACGGCAATCACAACGCTATGGTTGCCATCACCAAGTGTCGGCTTGCGGCGCATCACAAGGTTGAGGGTGCTGTAGATTTCTGTCTTGCCAGATGCCATAGCCTCCAAGTCCTGCATCGAGAACCCATAATTGGCCCTGCCCCGTTGCTGGACGTCTTGCATTCAAATCACTCAACTGAACACGCACAAAGCATCTCTCTGAGATGCACGTCGCCCTTGCCCCGTGCTGGTTCCTTATCCTCACTTGCTCTGTGTAACTGCATCGTGCTTTTGCATGGCTGGGTGATTGTTGCAATCATCTCGGGTTCAATTGGATGTCCTGCGGAAGCCAGTGCTGGTGAGATTCTGCTGGCTGCTAAGGACGGTCATTGTTGCTGGGACTGCTTTGCAAATCTTGTCTGCCCCTGCTGTTGCCAAAGTAAGAAAGACAACGGAAGCTGAGCTAGCTGTCGCAATTTGCAACAAGCCACAGCACATGAGAGGCACTGCAGTCTCTGACCATCTGGACGACATCCGTTTGACCTTCCGTGCCTGGTGGTACTGAGCAGGATCCAGGATCACTCGCGCAACCCGGCCGTCTCCCACAGGAGTCTTACGTTCTGCTGGGTTTGGATCGCTGATGACGTTTCCTGCAGCGACATGCTTTGCATGTCATGCTGGCATCGTACGCAAGTGCTTCATCTAGAGACCCAAGAAGCACGCCTTCGTCATCCAGCAACTCTGTGATTTCCTTCGCCAAGCAAAGTTGAGTTTGTGTACTTGCAGTATGAATTGTCTGCACTGGCATTGCAAGAGCCCGACAGCGCCGCGAACGCTGATGACGCCTTGCACGAATCCATTAATACACGAACATCGCGGAGATGGTTGAGGCATATCCCGAGTCGTGCGCCAAACTTCTCGGGAAACTCTGCCACAGTAAGTTCAGCCACTCTGCCATCATAGGGTTCAGTTGGCGCTTGAATCCTTAGCACTAGGGAAAGACCCAGGTACTTCGCTAGCCACAGCCTGCGCCTTATCAGGAAAATCACGTCGTGCTCCCTCAGGGTGTCCCATTCCTCGCGGATTTGCCTCAAGCCAGCGGCGTGCATGAGCATGCGTGAGCATTTCCTTCTGCAACATCAGGGCCAGATTGGCAAGCGTGTTTGTTCGGCAACTTTTCAAGTTGTTTGGAGAACTCTTTCAGCAGCCCTCTAAGAACCATGGCTTTGCCTTCGGCCTACAACGACATTCTTCACAAAACTTTGCAGCGTGGAGGGCTGGAGGAAGCATTGCCGAGACTTGCAGGCAAGCCAGTGGAGCTACTCTCGTACTCATTGTGGACTGAGACCCTGTCGGCAGAACTCCTGTCAAGGACCAGCGGACTTCAGCCCGAACTTCTGACGGAACCTCTTCTCCAACTTTAGGTCTCTTCACCTCAGTTCAGTGCAGTCAGGTGCTGATGGTGCTCAGTGACACACAGTGCTCACACAACACGGGGACTTGCAGCAATGCCGGCATGCGACATTCATCACTTCCAGCCCGCCCAAGGGCACCATCATACGTCCGGAGCCAGAGAAGTGCGTGGTACCATCTTGATCGATCGAAGCTTTCATCCTGATGCTGGTTTAAACAGTGGCAGAATTCTCATCTGAAGTGCCGTGCATGCGGTGCCTGGGGATTTGATCCTGCAAATCATCTCGTATCTCGTGCGTGGACTCCAAGCGGAAGAGATTGAAATTTCGCAGCAAGTAGTCCTGAGAGTGCCATGTAAATACAGCCAAACCTGTCCCTCAGGACATTTTCCACCATGCTTTCAGCAACGTGGCATGTATGGTGAGAAACTGCAGATTGAGTTTGGGAAGCGCCAATGTGTAGTCACCTTAGTTCCGAAACGAGGTGGAAGGTGGAAGGCTGCATTCTGTCACGCAGCCTTGCCTGAGTAGTGCTCCTCTGGAACCAGGTTGGGATCCCAAATCAGCTCCTCTGTTGGGTACAGTGGCATCTTCATCACGTCATCTTGCCTCAGAAAGGAAGTGCAATGAAGTGCAAGCGCCCTTCTGTGGCATTGTTTCTGCCAATGCAACTTAGCCGCTGCATGACGGGGCGTTCCAATCTGTTGACAAGGATTTCCACAAGCAGCTTACACAGGCGCTCCTCCTCCTCTGTTTTCACCTCATCCAGGCATGATGGACGGAACATACTACGCTTGCGTGCAATTCCTGAACATGAGCGTCACAATAGGCTAATTTGTTCACCGCAGTTCCGCCTTCTTTTTCCGTTTCTTCTTTTTGGGCTCTGCTGCTGCTTCCTTTTCCGCTTCCTGAAGCTCTTGAGCTGCAATGGCATCACGAACCTGGGAAGGTGGGAACGAATCTCGAAATGCAGGATTGACATCGCAACACAGCTGCCTTTTGCTCCATTGCTGCCAGCGTGGTGTCTCGGGATACCTGAGCTGGCTCTTGAACTTTACGCAAGCAGCTACAGAAAATTGTCAAAGCGTTCATGGGCAAGGCATGGTTTTTTGTGTTTCCTTCACATGTCGCGCTCTCCATTATCTCCAGCCTTGGGGGGCCTTCAGCCCTTCTGTACCACCAGGCTCTACTTCATCTTGGTGCCATCCAGTGGGTTGAACAACAAACTCGTGTTTGAGCAGCTTCCCTTTGCGGCAATCGAGAACTGAGAAGTGCTGGCGAAAAAAGCAAGAAGCCCTTCATTACTGCTTCAAGGCTTGGCTGCTGTCGATGCTACTACTGCACTGCACCCATCGACACTGACACTGCATGTAGAAAGCGCCACTTGGGCTGGTAGGGCACTAAATGGCCACGAAAGTTGGCGTTGCAACACACAGGAAACGCACCGCGTGACAACAGAAATGATAACATAGCTCGGCTTCTGGCATCGAGGTAACAGACCTTGGCACAGAGCACCTTCAACACGTCGAAGGGCAGCGGCTCAAAGTGTTGTACCAGAGCTTCCCTGGCAGTTCACCAAGCTTGGCCAAGCAACCAAAAAGCTCCTAAGTCTATGCGCCTTGTGTGCCTTACAGCCATAAAACACTTGTGAACTTTGACATCAGGCGTGCTTTTCTCTTGCGCCTCGTGTCCAGCTTTGCAACGTTCACGAGCATGATTTGCTTCAAGCTGGGGTTGTCCGGAAATTCTTGGAAGCATACCTTGCATTCTAAACTCCAAACCGCATAACGAAGCAAATCGCACGATGGCTGCAATCAACAGGTCAGGTCAGCAGGTCGGGTTGCTCTTTGCAAAAGCTGCAGTCGCTCATAGTGAAGATCTGTGACTTCGCGGCGGGACAGCGGCTTTCCAGTCGTGTCATCAATCTCAAAATTCTCATAATATCTGCCAATCAGGCCGGCATTTCGGCAATGTCAAATGAATCTGGCAAACTTAGAACTGTGAAAGAATATGCGCGCCTGAGAATTCCGAGCAGCTGGTTGACCAAGCGTGCTTGCGGCAGCTGCGCAACTTTTGATCCTCTACAGCGTACCTGGACAGTCTTGCCTTCTTCCAATCAGGATGGACAAGCCTAGAATTCTAGCAGATGTGTTTCCCTTCTGTCATTTCGTCTCAGCTCCGGGCAACTATGTGCTTGTCCACGAGTAGCGGTCTGAAAAAGCGCCGAGTAGGCAGCTGATCCAACAAGTCGATCATGAGCTCTATGCAACCTCGGCGTGACGGAGGACCACTAGGCAGCAGGAGCATGAATGTTATGATACGAATGTTACAGCGGTGGCCAATGGATTCTCGAGTCCATGGCGTTCCAGGTACGAAAGCTCCTGCTTGAAAGCAGCAACAGCAGCAGAATTGCTTTCCCAGATTGCAAAGTCAAGGCGTCAGCCTGGCAAAGAAAAGGGCGCGTGCTGGAGATGAGTTCATTCAAGCCGGTAAAGTCCGCGAATGGGTTGTGACTTTTCTAAGAACGATTGCAAGGTAGACCAAGAACATGTTCAAACCTCTGGGAAATGCACAGGAGTTGTGAGTACTTGTGGGTTGCTATGGCTAGGCCAGGCCTTCAATTCACAAGCGCGCTTGAGTGCAACATAGTGAAGCTATGATAGGTCCTCCACACTCAAGTCGGGAAGCTCGCCAAACTTCTCGAGCGAGGCCAGGAATTCATCCAGTAGCTCTGACATGAAGTTGCGTTCATGCTTAGCTTGAGACCTCAATCCAGACAACCCAGAACTCGGCAGGCAAGGTCCGTGGACCGGAACCGGTACTAAGTTCCGAACGTTTTGGGATCAGCCTCAGTTGTCTAAATGTCCCTAGGCCCTAGTTACTAGTTGTATTGAGCATCCAACTGTGACCAAGCACCCCATGCAGCCAGGCGGCATACTTCTTCTGGACTTTCTTCCAAAAAGCAGGCAGTTTCTTGTTCAAGGAGAGAAGTTTCCTCGGCAAAGCAGCTGCATCCAGCGTTCAATCGAAAAGATCTTCGCAGATTCAGAACTTCCTAATCTGCGGAGGCACGCATGTTCACAGCAACCAATGCGATCCAAAGCTGTCCAGTGTCTCACGGTGCAACTCGTTCAAATGAAACCAAGACTGCAATCCTGTCAACCTGTCCAGCAGTCGCAAACTGCATCTACCATCACAGACAAAGAGTAGAAGACCTGCCTAAGGCAACATTCTCGAACAAAGTCTTGCTCCAAGCTCTGGAAGCAGTTGATGAGGAACTGAAGAACGTGAGACCTAGCTCTCCATTGACATGAGCACTTGGTCAGCCAAGAGCTTCAGAATAGCAAACTGAGCGATCTCTCGTCTTGCACATGCTCTACCGAGGCTTCCGGCTTTTCCCGTAAAGTCAACTTGCCAGACTTCCACAGCTCCAGCATGCTCTCGAAGTAGCCCGAAAACCTCATGCTCCGAACAGAATCACAGCAAATCACGGCTTTGAGAAGATCAGGCTACCTACAGCATGGCTGTAGAGAGTGGCACCTGGTGCCAGCATCAGAAACTGTGCCATGAGTTGACCCAACTTGAGTTTTTGGGAGCCTATCAGAAACTTCAAAAACTACTTGTTTGGGCCAGCAGCTTCTCTTTGCGAGCAGCTACAGAATCCCAGGCAGAGACGCTCCCATCCCGCACCTGTGCCCACACAGCGTGACATAGTCGTGTGACAGCTTTCGAAGCTACTAGGCCCACCTTCTCATTGATGAGGAGGGCGATGGTTATGAGATGGGCAGCGCTTGCCTTCTCACTGTCGAAGGTTGGCCAAAGCTTCCTTTCCAGGAAGGAGTTGAACTCCAAAGTTGTCACCTTGCAAAACACGTCCTTACGAACTCTCTCTGAAAATCTTTGCTGCAAGGAGGGCCTGCTTCGAGTCAAACCCACTCTCCTTTAGTTTGGCATAGATCTCCTCCACTACCTTCTGGATTGAGACAGGATGAGACAGCCCGTACAGGCACTGCCCCAAATCTCTGCACGCACTTCTCTCACCGCGCTCAGCTCTCTGCCGGCTCAGGCGTGTCTGCGATCTTAGCCTGCAGAAGCTCATCTATCGCGTGACCATCAGAATCCCTTCATGCAAACATGACAGAATCTGTAGCAACTTCTTGCAGAAAAGATCATTGTAACATCTTGCAACATACCGAGTAGATCTCAGGCATGGATGTTCAAGATAGTTGAACTAATATGCGAGAAAGCCCTGGCCCATGGCATTAGAGAAATCTCTTTCTCCTCCCAGTCATCTTGGAATCACATGCCTCACCAACAAATCTCGAGCACAACATGCTGGCACTGTGCAGCGCAAGTGCTCATCACCCAACCCCCAAATCGCACGACAGGATCGCCCTCACAATGTCAGCACGCAATACACCCTCCCTCCCACTTGTGGACAGGCATCTTCCCACGGTCCAAGCTTCCTAGGCAAATCTTCATCAGGTCTTCCATGAACGTGACCCCCTGCTGTCCGCTGGATCAAACATTATGGTTTCAGGACTCTACATTGCCAGACTCATCTTGCTTCAGCAAATGCCTTCCGTATCCACCGTAGCTTCTCTATGTCACCCAGTCCAATGAGTTTTTTGCAAGTCTAGACTGCCACACTGAGAGAGACCTGGCAGGAGTACAGGTCTAACTAAAGTCTGAACATGAACACGACGCGTGCAGTTGGGCTGGATACTACACTCCTGGAATGAAACCTGGTCCAACGCTGCGAGGGGTTGTCAAGCTTTCTAAGTTAGTCTAATTGGAGCACGCATTCATGCACGACAAGGGCGACGTGGACAAGTCACTTTCATTCACTCTCTCACCGAAGGCCCCAAAAGCACGATATTGTAACTTGATGTTCTGTCTGTGCACTGCCAAGAAGATCAGGTCCAACGGCACAGGAGAAAGGCTGTCTGGCAAGGACCCGGAGCTACAACACTTCAGTCGATCACTCTAATCAGTATACCCAAGCTAAACTTGACTCCAGAACAATCACTGCAGGCGGCACGGCCTGGACAACCAAAACTCCCTGAGTGGTGTGGGTGAGTCAGTCAGAGGAGGTCTGCTTAGGCTCAGCATTGGCTGGAAGGGTCGCATCTAGATTCTCCGGACTATTCCAAGCTGAAGGAATGAGATGCGATGCACTGTGCAGAGGTGGCCTACATGCCTCTGATTCCTTATTTTCAAGTCCTTGCCTGGAGTCGATAAGCCTGCGAAGATTTTTGAACGAAAGAAGCGAATTGTAAGTGAACTGCGCAATCTGCGCATCAGCATCAAGGCAAAAGGAGCAAGCTCAGCACAGGGAACGGTTTGTTTGAGCCCTTCCAAAAAGATTCCAGCCTAAGTGTCATCATTTGCGGTCGCAGATGCAACGTACACAAGGCGGGTCGCGGCTGTTGGTTGCTGCTGCTACTACCCTGACCGTCAAATGCAATGCGCAGGACAGTGCTTCATCACTCAGGCACATGAACATGCTGCAGCGAGGAGCTCTGAAGGCATAGGTGACGAGAGCAGCACTAACACAGAAAGTCGTCCATCCACCAGCGACACGACGATACACACTAGCATGGAACAAACCTGAGCAGCGCCGCAGTGCTTACGGCAACGACCCTTACGCGCCGCTTGCTTTGGCTGCGTTAGCTACATTTCTTGTGGACATAACATCTTGCCAAATCAATCCACGTCATTGCTCAAATTGCTTCTCTTGTAACAGCAAGACCTTGCAAGTGCGATTCTAAATCCGGAGGTCAGTGACAGTGAGAAGAAAGACCATTGGACCCGAAGCGCATGCTTGGGGGCAGCAACTCACGGAAGCCTCGGAGGATGTGGCTGCAGCCATTGCCATTGCATCTATCATATCTCATGAATGTTGTAATGTCAAAATCCCATCCAGGTCTGTGCACATTAACATGACTGGCTGGAGAGCTTTGTGATGCTTTGTGCATTGGTGCATCTTGTGGCCTGACATACACGCACCCATGACCCTCCATGTCAGCCTTAGTCGGCAAAAGGTGCTGTCTCCTGTACCGTGCTAGCATGGGAGTGAATGAGGCTGCATGCTCAACAGCAAGGATCTTTTTGCTTGCTTGCCTACAGGCCAGGATGTTCTACTTGCTCTCTTCTTGGTTGCTCACTGTATGTTTCTTATAGTGTAGCTTCAAGACCATGCGCAAACAGACAACTCTCCCAAGCAGGCGGTTCAATGCCTTTGCTGCGCAGATCAGTGGCTTTGGCACGGTCGTTGCACCTTTTGTTCCTTCCACTTCAGTCTCTGCCGCAGGCCGCTTCACGTCTCCCTTGCCCGTGTACCTGCGAGGGCACCCTGCAGTCAAAGCCACAGAAACGCAGCCGTTCTGAAATGATTTGCACCAGCATGGCTGGATAGCTGATCCCATTGCAGCCATGAGCACGTGGGCGAGTCCGTTCTAGTCCTTGCCCTCCTGGTACCTAACTTTCAGCAGCTTCCGGAGCGCTAGAGACACAAGAGACACCGGGCAACTCCCAGAAGTGCAACGAGGACACTTTGCCATCAAGGCTGCTCTCCGCCGACGGCTTTCCTGAATCGTAAACTGAATCTGTGTAACATGGCATAACCAGGTGTCAGAGAACATGCAATAATCGTGGTGCCTCGAGGCGTTTCGCAACTGTTTCATCATCGTCATCATCCTGAAGCTAACGGCTGTGCTCACAGAGCATGGGAAGACTGCGCAAACTTTGAGGTATTCCATTGCACTAAAATGATCTGCAGCCAGTTGAGGCGCGCGCTTGCTGCAAAACGCGTCGCTTCTTCTTGGCGTCAGTTTCTGCCTGAGCCACTGGCTGTCAAAGCATCACTTGTAGTCTTCCTGGCCAACACATGTCGGCAGTGCGGTTTCCGCTGCACCTCAAGTTCAGTAGCAGTCAAGGTGCACAGAACAGTTGTCAGTGTCATGTGACGCTGCAGGAGGCTACCATGCGTCGGTCAGAGCGTCAATCGCTGAGAGAGCCGCCTGCATCTGCTTGCGCTACTGCAGCCTCACATAACAAGCAGAGCAGTGCTCATGAAACACTTTTGCAACCTGCTTTCACATCGCAGCCTCGTCCTTCGGAGCATCTTTCGGGAGCTTCTCCTCGCGCTTCTCGTCTTTGCGCTGACTCTTTGGGCTTCTGCGCGGACTCTTCGGGCTTCTGCGCGGGCTCTTGGAGCTTCTGCGAGGACTCTTCGGGCTTCTGCTTCTGCGCGGGCTTCTGCGCGGGCTTCTGCGAGGGCTTCTCCGTGGGCTCCGGCCTTGGACTTCTGAAACATCGCTCTTGGAACATTTTGGAGCATTTGCAACGCTTTCCAGAGAATCCGACTCCTTCGACGCGCCTCGGTCCTGAAAAACCATTGCTGGGGGGAACACCCTTGCATACAGGCGGGTTGAATTCGCACTGGGGCAACCGTGCAAGCTGGTACACAGCCATATGAAAGTGGCAAGGCAAATGGGCAACTGATCTCAGCATATGGAAGGCCTGCTGCATGGCCAGGGGGAAAAAGGCAACCATCATGAATCCGCCCAGACTGAAGGCTTGGGGTATTAACGGATCTAAGAACAGTCAGGTATGTCCTGCTACCTACCCTACCCCCTTCCATGTTCTGAGGCTGATCAGGTCAGGTTTTGCAAGTTGTTGGGCAGTTTCGCAGGTTTTCAATGAGGCACAGCGTCCCACCCCACACCCACCTGGTCTACAGGTGCTGCGACTGCAAGACAGGTGCCTGAACATTGCAGCTCCAATCTGTCATCATTGGCAGGGACCAAGTCATATCAGGTTGCCGATTGATTGAGATGGAAAAGTCTGGCATGAGTACTTTCAGCGGCATGACTTCTACCCAAATATGCACAACAACTCCGCCCCAAGTCAGTCTTTACAAGTCTCACGGCGTGTGAAGACTGCGTGTGAGGCCTTGCAGATGTGGGGATGAAAGGCATGGCAGGCAGGGAGACGAAACGGAACATGAAAAACCTAGGCCAAGAGCAGATGTGCGCACACTACAAGATCCCTGTGGCCTCCCACGCGAGAGAGAGAGAGAGAGGGAGCAAGACGGCGATGGGACGGCTTGACATACCCAAGGAACAGGAAGACAAGCGGGGAGCAAAGGCGGGCAAGGCAGAGCGCCTTAGCCATGCTGGTTGGCTCAGCAACAGGGCGAAGGACAGCAACAGCCTTTGTGTTGCAGCGACAGCAGAAGAGCCATCAGCGGCTGACGCAGTGCGAAATAGTGCGAACAGAGGCCCGCAAGCTGCTGGTGACGGCGAGGTCAAAACACGCCGCAGGCCGGCTCATACACATCTCATCATCTCGCTTTTCCAACAATTCGGCACTCAAGCCTCTTCGACTTGCAATGCCACCCTCACCAAGGCGGCACTCGCGCTGGCGGTAAAACTAAAGGCGGAAACTGGAAGCCATCCATTGCAAGCAAAAGCCCCCAACGTCCTTCGAGAGTCCTTCTTTGGAGGCTCGGAAGCCCTCTGCTCCTACGACAAGCCACCTCTATCACCTCTTGAGCTCAACTCTCATAACCAGCTTGGTCCACCTCTGGACGTAGGGCATCGTCTGTGCCTCAATGCGATGATGAACTAGGCCAGCCAATCGAAGAGCCATGAAAAACCTAGCTGATTCTCTGCGGTCTGGGGTGAAGGCTCAAGAATGCTTGAGCTTGAGGTGTCGGTGAAGCGCTCGTCTCCTGCGAGCTGAGCACGTCTGCCGTGAGTGGAAATCAAGCCTATGGACCGCCTGCACAATAGTGGAAAAAAGCGCAGGTCGGAACCCTTGCATTCCTGATGATTGAAGCGAGACTGAACGCACACATATCTCATTTTAGACCACCAAATAAAGGGCTCCAGCAGCTCTGACATTCCCTTCTTGCTTGGTATTGAAACATCAGAATGATCATGCTAAAGCCCAAAAGAATGCAATGTGTCTGTAGGATTCCGCCAACCTCCTCCGCTGGCTTTCTGTGTAGATTCTCCGAGGTCAGCGCGTACCTGTCTTCAAATGTCTTCAAGCAAATCAACACAGCGGCTGTTGAGGGTCTCCGGATATGTTACCGCAGCTTCTTGCGGTTTCTGCAATGCTCAGCTCGACTTTGGTAAGTGATGTGAATGTCTGCCCCGCAGTAAGATCTCACCATCCCATCTTTAGTGGGCCCAGCGAAGACAAACTGGTGTGAATTCTGTGGAGTAACGTAACCAACTGTACTGAGATTTCTGATGCACGTGCATGCTTTGTCCAAATGCTTCTCCTCATGCTGCAGTACCTCTAGCCTGATGCCTCCCCTTGCGCACCAGCCACGTCGATCATCCCGTTCGGCATTGGCCCCTTTCGGCATGGAGAACTTGCCGGCTGCATCCTTACGAAAATGCGTGCATTAATTACAGGTATTACAGGTTACTAGTAGCTAAAGCTCTCTTTCCTCGCATCAAAATAGCAGGTCCTGCAGCCAGCGTTTTGAGAAGCATCTTCGGCGGTCCCAGGACTGAAGAATCTGTCAGCATGGCTGGCTGAGCAGTGTTGGCCGAAGTGCATGCACAAAGCGAACATAGAAGCCAAACCACAAGAGCTGACAAATTGAGCAACCATAGGCAGGTTTCAGAGCTACGGTAGGAACTTCTTCTTGCGACGATGGATAGAAAGCGGATGCCTCTCCCAGAAAAGCACATGCTCCGCGATCTCGATCATCAATGTTCTGCAATGCATGCAGCACATTCATATTGCAATACAATGATGCTTCTGAAAACAATCGCCAGCTCTGCTGCAAAAATGGAGAAGAGCACTAGGACTGGGACCATGGTGAGGACGAGGACGAGGACGACGACGTGGATTTGTGGGTGAGGGTGATGGGGTGCGGGTGAGGGCCAGGGCAAGAGCGAGGGTGACAATGACGAGAGCAGCAACGGCCCGAGCGAGGGTGTTGGCGACAGTAGCAGGCATTGCAATAACAGCCAGCAGAGCCCGACCACAACAACATCATAGTGACGCAGATTGCTAGAACACATCTGTGATCATTGCCACATCATGGCTTTCAAGCTCCAGCCATGATGTTCACATCCCCAATCCCGTCTCATGACGTACACGACGACAATGGGCGACACGTCTCTTATAGACAAGTTTCACATCAGATGCAACAAACAAGTAGGCTGACGTCGAAGATGATACTGAAGAGGTTCCTTGCGATGCGACGGTGAACGTGCTTCGGCAAAGTAATTCCTTGCCTCGGCAGCTGTCCCACTAATCCCATGGAATCCACGCCCGCCTGTGGGAAGAAGATATCTCAAGCAGATGACGCGAGCTGGTTGGACGGCCTGAGGTCCAAGACCTTGCGAAGCGATAGCGTCGACCAAGCACCTCAGAAAAGCAAGATGAGCAAAGCTGCCCGTTGCATTCGAACTCCTGGGAAATCCATCCCTCAAGCCCCTGACGCTAGGGCCAGCCGAGCTCTTCGAAGGATCGCGCTTCTCAAAGCCGGCGCTGCATCCTTTCAACGCACTTTGCAATTGCCTTGCAGTTGCACATGGTTGCGTGCAAGATCACGAAAGTTTCATGCAAGGTCTCCTCCGGGAGGTTCTCCGAGGAAAGCTCCTGCGGAAGCGTCATTCAGATGCGCATACTCCAAGCTGGTCAAAGCATCCCAAGGTATCCCAAGGTATCCTGCAGTCTGCGGAGCACGTCTGGTTGCCGGAGTGGCCCTGACCGCACTGCTCCGCGAGCTGCTCGCGCCACGTGACCCTGAATCGACCTGCGCTGTTTCACTCAGCCCTATACAAAGATGCCACCAACTTGGCTGCGTGCCGCGGTTCAAAGGCTGGATCTCGGGTGCCCTTGAGAATGACGTCCAAGGAGCTTGCAAATTCCTACAACCATTTCAGTAGGGCCGCGTGATGCCTTCTGGCTGTGGGCTGTGGGGCTAGGAAACAGCGCTTGCAAAAGTAGAGCGCAACAGGTCCTCCCATCCTGCCCACTCCACCAATCCTCGGGAAGGCTACTATGATGGCTTCTCTCCACGCAGGTGGGAGACTCGGAAAGCCACCAACTGCACGCGCATCTTCTGTCATCATGAAGGTGCCCGGAGGTGTCTGGGGCCAGGAGCAAAGTAACTTTGCAACGCTCATTCACAGCTATGCCGCAAGGAGGGCCTCATTGACGACATTCCACGCTTTCATGGCAACCTCAAAATCCTCCCCAGTGATGCCGACGGCTCGGCCCAACATCGGCAAAGGCAGATACCTGCAATGACCGTCCAACTTTTGATCAGCTAGGGGCCACATTTTTCCAGATAGGCAGCCTGCGACCTTCATCGCCCTCTATGATCCTTGTTCAGCGTGCAGTGGGCCAACACCAGCTTTGCAAACCGCAGGGCACACCATTGTGATGGTGTGAGGTATGCCGAGGCACCCCAGCCCAGCGGCTCCGTCGCTGCCCTTGGGCGCAAGCTCGAAAAACCTATGACAGCAGCGGGTGAGCAAGCGGATACTTGTACTGGCGAATGGTGAACACATGCATGGTCATCATGGCCTTAGCAGGGCATTTCGAAGTTGCTCGGTAGTCGTTGCCGGGGCAGCACCTTCCTTCGGATTACTTTGTGGTCCTGCATCAGAAGCTTAAGCCTGTCTAAAACCTCGCACAGGCATGCAGGAAGGGAAACGAATACAATTCTGCGGTTTGCCTCAAACTGCTGCTGCTCTTCTGCGTACAGAAGCAAAACTGCTTCAGTGACTCTGCGCAGTACGCGAAGTATCCTGACATCTCTAGCGGGTCCTGCAGGAGGAGGCTCTGAGGTAGGTGTTGGTGGAGGCGGAGACGGCTTCTCTGGCCTGAATCCACACAGTACGCGGTCTGGCCCTTCAGTGTAATCAGCCTGCCTCGAAATGAGAAACAAGTGATGCGGATCCCGATCGAGATACAGCTTTTCTCTTCACCCGTCTCCCTAAATGGAGAACACACTTCGGGTTTCAAGTTGGTACAGAATAGATGCGACAGGACATCTTGTCAAATCTTCACTCCTTTCCCAGGAGTCTCTGTTGTTGACTTACGGCTGCTGGACAGTATCAACAACTGCTTGTTTACTTTATGCTGTTACGATCTCTTGGCATCTGGGAAGCAGTTGCAAGTCATTTTGAAGTTGGGTCTGCCCACCGGCTGGCCGACTCGAGTCAGGGGTCAAGGTGCTACACTCGGCCTGCCCGTTGAGCTTTTGCATATCGACATAGCAACGTCAGAAACACGCTCATCTGTCAATTGCAGCTTGACTCTCGTGTGCTGAGCCTGGCAAGGACTTTCTCTCTTAGACTGCTCTTGCTTTGGCTGATAGCTGCATGCTGACAGCTCCATTACACCCGAGGAGTTTGTGGCAATTCCGCTCCTTTTGCGGCCGTTTTAGGGCTCTGAGACCTGCAGGCCTCGTGGAGACAGAAAAAGGGTCCAGTCTGCTGCTCTGCCGCTGCTGCGGATCCGGGCCATAGTGTTCACAGTTCAGGTATAGTGGACATCTCAAGATTGTCGTCTTCAACCGTTGTTCAGCTTTAAATGTTCTCAGCAGCCGCAGGTATGCACTTGTGGATAGGGACATACTGGCAAGCAGCTTGTCTGTCAGGCTCTGACTCCTTCTTTGGTGCGTTCACCTGGCATTGAGGCAAGCATGAATAACCATCTGTGACATGACGCCCTCAACAGGCAGCGTGAGCCGACAGCCATTGGCTGATCATGTCCCGAACGTTCTGGGCCAAAACAACGCCCTGCTGATCGGCCTGAAAGTCCACCATGCCGGAAAGTGTCCAAGCCAAAAGCTTCTCGGCCTCACGAACGCCTGCCATGACTTCGGCATGGTTGCCAGCCTGCAATTAGCATCTCAGCATGTCTCAACGGCAGAGTGCGCCAAGCAAATGTGACCTCGATGCCAGCCCGGATCCGCAGCAACGGAGCTTGCGACACGGGAGAAGCAGTTCCGGCCTCAAAGGCTGTGCAAGAGGAACGCCACGTTCTTAAAGGGCGAAGCTGTGAGCTGATCCAAGCGGTTCATGGAAGTCTTCCGTTTTCGGGGAGAGATTCTACTAAGGGAGGATGCTTTGGTCAGAGTATGTGACATCAGCCTTTGGGAATGTGAATGCCAATTCCTTGAATACTTCAGGCACACTGCCCCGTGCTTGCGCATGCAAAATGCGGTTTCATGCGAAGAGGCATCTTTTCAGACCAGGGAAGCAAGACGTCTGCGCACCTTTCCTGGACAGTATTCGCAACACCATGGGCCTTACTTGATCGCCTGGCATGATGCTTGAAGTCTTTTCTTTTCGGGGGTCAAGTCTGGCATGATGAAGGGCCGCTGACCTCATTGATGAACCGTCTGGGCCAGAAACGGAGAGTCCACGCGAAAGCTGGCTGACGCTTGCGAGTCAGAGCCACCCCACATCATATTATGTGTCGGGACTCTGACATAAACCCATGTTGCATAGCTTAATTTATTAATCTGTTCCAGGTCAAATTGGATTTGGATTGCTTGGCCAGAGCATCGTTTGTAACAAGTGCATGCGCAGAAGCTTTACAGAAGTATACAGAAGTTATCATCGTCTCACCTACAATAAACTGGCACACAGCAGCATGAAATGTACTCAACTCTGGATGGCTGAAACACGAATCCGGGGAGCTAGCGGCGGGCGGCGGACCTGTGCTCCGTAAGACGGTTCTGAATGTGGTCCACTCAGTCACAACAAAAGCTGCTAACAGGAAAGACAAGCCAGCAGCGCTAGATGCAGGTGGAAATGCTCCGTTGCATCCACAACCACCGCATGCGCCTGCGCAGCCTTGAGCAGGCAGCCACTCAAGCCCACCACTTGGGACTGCACTACTCAGGTCTCGACCAGCGTTGACGCTAGGGGCGAACCCCTAGACAGCCAGGACGAGTGTGCAATCAAAGGAAAACTGCAAAGGCACAAGCAAGCAGCATTCTGTGATTAGTCTTAGTCTGATCGGACCCGTTGTCACTATAAATTCTATGAAAGTAAACAACATAGAGGAGCCCACTTTGCCGAGACAAGTCCGGTCAGATCCGAGTAAGCCCTCCTCAACAAAATGCAGCCCAGCCTGAAACATGCTAGAACCGGCTCTAGACCCTTTTCAAATGCTGTTGGTGTGTTGGTGGTGCATGTGGTAGCCTAACCATTTATGCTTGATCACTTCATGGCATACTGGTTGACTCTGGGTAGCATATTGAATATAAATTGGGACTTCATTGTCTTGAGGCAACATAGGCCTTTGTCCCTGCAGCAAGTGTCTGAGAGCAGCATCGCAAGATACACATTGCCGATTGCGGCTGCCCGACCAATCTCAGGGATGAGCACACATGCCGGAACTAAACAATCAGGGTTTGCTCAAAGCTTTTGAGTCTGTGTTGCGGTTTCGACGGATGTAGTCTTTGGCTGGCATCGCCAGCGCCTAATGGCGGCGCTCACTGGGAAAGTTCCTCCAGCAACGAGCCTTCATCTGCCAGCTCCTGCAATCTGCTTTCCCAGAACTGTTACGTAACTCATCGATCTGGAGCACAGCCTTGAGAATGTCCAATCCACCCACCAACTTGCCACTCGAGTAGACCTGGACGCTGTTAGCATCGCGGGTGTCAGTACACTTGCATCGTGCTAGCCTGTGGGTAGGTCGGCCAGTTGGAATAGTCCTTCAAGCCCTGACGAACTTCCTGCCATTTTCGCACCATGAGAATTTATCACCGACCCTAGGCAGTATCTCGGCTGTCCTCATCAGAGAGGATGTCGAAGCTGTCGAACCTGCCATCTTCATTGAAACCGCAGAACGCATGAGCCAAATGGTGACAGTATTGACCTGTCTTGCTCCTTCTCTTCTTCACTTTTGGATTTTGATGGATTTTGTTGTAGGTGAGGTGGACAGCAGTTTACCAGGACATGTGTTGTTTCGAGTAAGTGCTGGCTTTTGATGTGGTTCGCAGCACGGCTCAAGGGTCACATAGCCAACAAAAACGCGGGTCACTTAGCCAATTCGGATCCTGCACAGTTTCGGGTCACTTCGCCCACAACACTTAGCCAATTCACGATTCCGGGACAGCCTGAAGGGTCTTGGGCCTAGGGTTTAGGGGTTTTGGAGTTAGGGTTTACGGCCTGGGAGTTTTGGATTTAGGGTTTAGGGATTTGGATTTAGGGTTAAAGGTCCAGGGGTTGTAGATTTAGGGTTGGATTTAGGGTTTACGGTTTGGGATTTTGGATTTAGGCTTTTGATGGCTTTAGGGTTTACGGGTTTTGGATTTAGGGCTTAGGGGTTTTGGGCTTCTGGATTTAGGGTTTAGGCGTTTGGGATTTAAGTTTAGGCTTGGGGGGTTTAGGGTTTAGAGGTTTTGGATTTAGGGTTTAAGGGTTTTGGATTTAGGGTTTATGGTTTAGGGGGTTTGGGATTTAGGGTTTAGGGGTTTTGGATTTAGGGTTTAGGGGGGTTTGGATTTCAGGTTTAGGAGTTTTGGATTTAGGGTTTAGGGGGGTTTGGATTTAGGGATTAGGGTTCAGGGGGTTTGGGATTTAGGGTTTAGGGGTTTTGGATTTAGGGTTTAGGGGGTTTGGGTTTCAGGTTTAGGTGTTTTGGATTTAGGGTTTAGGCCTGAGGGTTTTTGGCTTTAGGGTTAAGGGGTTTCGGGCTTAGGGATTAGGGGTTCTGGATTTAAGGTCTAGGGTTTAGGGGTTCTGGACTTAGGGTCTAGGGTTTTGGGGTGTTGGATTTAGGGTTTAGGGGATTTGGATTTAGGGTTTTGGGATTTTGGATTTAGGGTTTAGGGTTTACGGGTTGTGGATTTAGGGTTTACGGGTTTTGGATTTAGGGCTTAGGGTTGTTGTTGTTTTTTATCGGGCCTTTTTCCTTCGCAGGCTTAGGGGTTTTGGGCTTTTGGATTTAGGGTTTAGGGGTTTTGGATTTAGGGTTTAGGCTTGGGGGGTTTTGGGCTTAGGGATATTTAGGGTTTAGTGGTTTTGGATTCATAGGGTTTAGGGGTATGGGGTTTAGGGTTTAGGGGTTTGAGTGTTGGGTTTGGGGGTTTGGGGGTTCTGGTTTTAGGGTTCCGGGGTTTTGGATTTAGGGTTTAGGGTTTAAGGGTTTTGGGTTTAGGGTTTTAGGGGTTGTTGATTTAGGGTTTAGGGTTTACGGGTTTTGGGTCAGGGGGTTTCGGATTGAGGGTTTGGGGGTTTTGGATTTAGGGTTTAGGGCGCTGGCAGCCCAGCTACAAGCCTGACCTGTAAACCCTGAGACCCATGTTGGCTAACGAACACGCTACGGACGTGCAACGGGGACCCCAACACGACATGCCCGCAGATGCCTCCCGGCCACTAAATCAGACTCAGGTCGACATATCAGACGGCTGAAGGAATCACTTGGCTGCAGACAAGCGGGCAAACAAATACATGTCAAAGCGTTTGCTAAGCGACCCCAAAAATTTTGGCTAAGCGACCCCTTTCCCCGCAGCAACGCTAGGCGTACTCTCCGCTAGGGTGCCCCTCGTGCCATTTGAAAGGCGTGTAGCAGGTGGATGACAGCGGCTGCAATGACTTCGACCGAACATTGGATGATTTCAACGTCCATATCGTCACTCTGCTTTTGAACATGGTGTTACCGCAGTTGTCCGTCTCAGTGCTGCCGACCGCTACCACTCTGGCTGAGCATCGCGTAGGTCCAGGCAGTCTCTCTGTGCAGGGATTTGCATCAACACTGTTGAGGAGCACTGTCGTGCAGAAGCGAGGTATTCCCAACTTGCCGAAGGGGGTGCCCAGATGCCAGGTTGAAATCCTGGACACCTCTGTGTTTACTGCCTCCAGCTTCGTTCGCCGGCACGACGACCCGGCATGGCCACGCGCATGCGCCATCATGGTCTCCATCCAGCGGCCAGCAAGACACTTTGACACGTGCTGCCATTTCAGACTCAACGCCACAAAACTTCATGTGCTGCATTTGGTATCTTGGAAACAGGTTGGCGGCTAGGGGTGGCTGCCAGGCAGTCGAAACTCCCTGCCGCAGTTCCCCAACGACTGCCACGCACACGCCGCGACTGTCTTCTACGAATCCTATCCCAACACCGCTCTGAAGCAAGAGCTCCATTTGAAAGCAAAATGTGAGAACGCTCCAGGCAGGAGTTCGATCCTGAGGCAAAATGTGTGGATGTTTTGCATTCAAATGAAACGCGGCGCCAAGGCCCCCCGCTTGCAAAGGCACTGGCAAAAATGAAAACATGTAGCTTTCTGATGCTTTCTCTTCAGTCTAACAACGATCTCCCAAGCAGTATTTTTCGGTTTCAAATGGAAAGTGGGGTCCCATTTGCAAAGGCATGGATGAAAATGAACACACATAGCTTTTCATTTGCTCTGCCCAGCTGCGATCTCCAAGCAGTCTTTAAGATGGAAATGGGGGTAGGTGGGCGCAGTGCCGCAATTTCGAAAACGCGGACGAAAAATGAAAACAGGTAGCTCTCTACTCGATTTAGCAATGTTCTCGCAACCAACCTGCTTCGCTTTTTAGAATGAAAAGGGGTTTGGAGCTGGCATCTCCCGCTTTTGCAAAGGCATGGAAGCAAAATGAAAGCACGCACTGAGTAGCTCTTCGATCGGTCGAGCAGCGCTCTCCCAAGCAGTTTGTCTCGCTTTAGAATGAGAAGCAGGGGGTTGGAGGAGGCGCAATCGCTGCCCGATTGGGAAAGCATGGACGAAAACTAAAACATGTAGCTCTTTCCTCAGTCTGCTGTAACAACCATCTCCCGTTGGGGGTCACAGATCCTCCCATTTGCGAAAACAGGCACGAAGCTGCTCCAACTGCCTACATGCCTCGTGGCGTTTGAGGGCGGAAGTTGCTAGGTTTGGGGTTAAGATGCCGGAATACCTCTAGCCTAGCAAAACCTAGCATGGTCATGACGACAGAACCTTGGTTTCTTCCGGAGAACCCCACACCTCAAGGCCGAAGTTTGATTCGTGCAGAGAGCCTTAAACCTCAAACCGAAGCTTGTCTGGCTTCATCCCGAAGCTGCTCAGCAACCTGCAGGGAAATATTTTACAGAAATTTGAAGAGTCGGGACTTGGACCTCAACAAAAACAAAGCAGGCATGCCATTGGAGCCAAGTCCAATGTCCAGGTGCATAGATACTGCAATGCTTGGAGGCCAGAATAGAGGAGCACTTCAGGCGAGAGCTCGTTTCAGATGGACAAATTGTGAGGACGGGAGCCGGTTTCAAGGCACATGCAAGGAAGCTGCAGTAATCTTACATGATGCCAAGTACCTCGCACCTTGCTAAAATATGGTCTTCCGGAATGCGAAAGCTCTGCAATTTCTTCGGGTGTCAGAAACAAGGGTCAAAAGCACTCGAGAAGCCAAAAGCAAAGAGACCACGAATCTCGTGCTACAGAAGCCTGAAGATCAGGAAGGTCCAGAAAGCCAGAGGAGCCAAGAAGCCAGAAAGTCAAGAAGTCAAAAAGCCAAGAAGCCAAAAAGCCAAAAAGCCAAAAAAACAAAAAGCCAAGAAACCAAAAATGCAAAAAGACACAAAAAGCCAGAAGCCAAAAAACCAAGAAGATGAACAGCCAAGAAGCTGAAAAGCCCAGACACCAAAAAGCTAAGAAACCCCAAAGCCAACAAGCCCCAAAGCTAAGCAGCAACACATGAGGACGCTTTCACGCGGGAGCTCAAGGTCGAGGGAAAATACAAAGATGCTCCACGAGAGTGCTCGATTTGTAGGCAAAATGTGGACGCGTTCCACACGAGAGCTCGATTTCCAGACAAAACGCGAGGACATTCATGACATGCCACACGAGAGCTCGCTCTCGAGGCGAAGCATGAAGATGTTCTACACCAGAGCCACCAGAAAAAAAAAAAAAAAGAGTAGGAAACAACAGTCCCACGCCTAAAAATTCCTGTTTAGCCGCCTGCCCTGAAGGTAGCCGTTAAATGAGGCGCCGTTTGCATGCAGGGTGTCTGCCAACACGGGATCTCAGCAGCAAGCCTATCTTGGAAAATCAGTTTGGACTTCTTAGCTGTCACTGCCTGACCATTGCCTGTCTGTCTTCTTCTCATTATTCTTCTTGCTCTACTTCGTCTTCTTCTGTTTCTTTTGCCAAGGCAGTTTGCATAATCAATCCTCCTGTGTCACGGTGCCAGTTGGCGTGACACATGGGATCTCTCTTGGCACAATGCAGGGCCGAATGAGCTACGAGGCACGGTTTGCTCCACACGGCCGGCGACCTATCTGCAGAAAGAAGACCCGGCAAACGTGTTCTTGCAGGCGGCTGTTGGTCTTAAGCGTTGCTTTCAACGTTGGTGCTCTGATGTGCTTTTCCCCTCAACCGAAGTTCCAGTCATAGTGAATGTGCCAGGAAAGCGCCGCTGCATGTGGCTAAGCTACACGTTTGCTTGCTCTTTACCCTTCGGAGCCCCTCCAGCTTAACCGTGCTTCAAACCCGCGCTGGCTGTACAATAGTAGTCAGTACAACTTGGAGGTATCCTGGGGCAACGATAGCTTATGATAGCTTCAAAGACCTCCAAAATGTTCAAGTTTATGGGGTCTGTCAGGCAAGCATTGTACAAGAGCGAGACGGAATTTGTGGTATCCACACGTATGGCTCATGCACGAAAGCCATCAAGACTTGTCACACTGCGGTCGAGATGCTTGATGTTGTTTTCGTTGAGAAGCCCAACAACTTTTCTGGAGAAGCCACACCGAGGCTCATCCGGAGTGCCCTGCGGTCAGAACATTATCTTCATGAAAACATGCAGTCTCGCAGAGTCACATGAGGCGCTTAAAAACGTAAGCTGACTGATGTCCAGAGCCGCTTTATCCACACTTGCTCAATGCACTTCCAACCTTCATGAAGAGCATGACCGGGGCTTGGTTGATTAGTCCGTGGAGTCTCTCCTGTACGCTGCATCCACTCAACATCTGCGCCTTGAACTTTTAATGGTTCCTTGATGTTGCTACATGCTGCTGCTGGTAGCAGGTCTGTCATGCGTATGAAAGCGAGTGCCAAGGTCGCTTCGTGTGCCATTTCAAGTCAACTTCGGGGTTGCAGGAGCTGTGGATTCAGATGCAAAACTTCGAGAAAGCGCGAGAAAGATTGACGCAGAACTGGCTCAGCAAAGAAAGCCGAGCCAAGCTGAAACCAAAATACAAATCTCATGGGAATCAGCCAGCATCCTAGCATCAACCCTGATCTTGTGAGTTGAAGCGTGCCTTGTCTCTCTCAAGGCTTTCGCAGATTCTGTCAAACTGGCCAGTGATGCTTACGGGAGTTACAACCTGTGCGATATACCTCCAGCGTGCCTTCAATACAGTGCAATCCAACACTGCAAAACACCTGTTGAAGAACATTATGTCATTATGTCACGTACTTCGAACATTCCCACCCGTACAATTTTGTGGTTTGCTGGCAACATCAACTACTTCCTGCAACAATATGGAGGCATCGGCAATGTAGTTCAAAAACATTGCGCCGGCCTGCAGACATAACAGTTGTACATTCCAAGCACTACTGTTGGGGCGCTGAGGTGGAATGTGCCAGGCTTGCATTTTTCTGATTTGTCATGATCATGCTCTCGGGTTGGGCAGGGATGCCCCGAAGCTGGGCACTGCAGCAGCCTTTTTGGGTGGGGCGAAGCAGGGATACTCTGCGCTGGGCACTGCACGGATGTGGATACCGCAGTAGTATAGATACTCTGCCATTAGGTGCTGCGGGGAGACTCTGCGACCTCTGCGATTGAGAAGGAATGCTGTGCGGATTTTCTGCGGTTGGGTGCTGCAGGGATACTCTGCGGTTGGGCACACCTGTTAATGTTTGCGTGGAGTCTTTGACTCGACTTGTCGTTTGAAGTGCGCGAGCGAGTAGCCGATATGTGGACATTCGATTGAATGATTCCCTACCCTCACAGTCAGCGCGTTAGTTTTTTAAGAAGTCTTGTTTCTCCTCGTCCTTCGCGCGCTGCCCAACCGCAGAATATCAAACCGCCGTTTATCCCTGTCGGCCGACGACGTTTCATGGCAAAATGTGTGAACTGTCGCATCACATCGCACACCGACCGTGTGCCAACCCAGTGTCCTGAAGCGGTTGTTCTTTGGCGACTCCAACGGCCTCAAGCAATGAACCGTCCTCGTCCATTTCCTGACAGCACTGAGCATGCTCCAAGCCCCTATGGCAAATAAGTAGATGTGAGATGCTCAAATGTCTACCTTCAGGATGTCGACGCCACCAAGAAGCTCGCCATTAATGTACCTAACGGCTGAGACATAGGTTGGGCATTTTGCAGAACGCGTGCTTTACGATTTTTCCGCACTGTAAGCAGCCAAAAACGATACAACTGCCTTCCGGCGTTGAACCGTAGCTGTCGCAAACATCCCTTGTAGGGCACAGCTGCGGATAGGTTTTCCAGTTCGAGAAGTCCTGCAATGGAGAAAGGCAGGAGGACACTGATCCAAGAAAGTGCTGAATCTTCTTCTGGTCCTTCAGACCTTGTCGGACCTCGTCGTCCTGCGAGATGCTTCTTTGGCATTTTGGAACATGCAGAGTCATGACTCCGAGCTCTCAATGTTTCAGAAGTTGATCAGCCTGCAATCTCTAAGATTGCTCAGCCAAAGCTAAATCGCGACAGCTACACAAGCCGTCTGAACATTTCACACCGTGGCCTGAAATTCCAGCATCTTGACTTCATGCTGAGACAGAAGCTAAATCATGTAACGTACAAAAGTTTCTATTCAAAATCTTGCCAGCAAAGACGAGATGGCAAGGCTTCCAAGCTTCAAATTGGTATATTCCCATGATCACCCCAGAACAAACTTGTGCAAGACCTACTGCGGCCTATGAGACAGAATACATTGCATACTGCCCTGTCACAAGTCCCAGGATCTGCATGCAAGTCGCCTTCCATAGCTTTGTAGGCAAACATATGGAGAAGACCCGCCATGAAGTTAAGAGGCAGCAAGAACTCGACCGCGCTTTGCATCGGCTCTGGTTTCTGGTATTATGTTCTTTCTGGACAGTGCACGCAAGCCCTGTAGATTGCAAGAACGTGCAAGCTGTGCAGCGAAAGTGCCAAAGGGGGCATCCTTCGAAACCAGTAGTTTCTCTGAACAACAGTAGCTTGGCTGGTGGCGGACCCTGTGTATTTGCGTTCCCGAAGCCACAAGTTCCCTTGGACTCGGATAGGTGCAGCTCGAATCGTCGAAGGCACAGCAAAAAAAGAATAGGTGAGACGTGGAATACTTGCGTGAGCCTGCAGAGCCTTTTCAACTATTCAGGTATGCATGGATTGTGCTGCGAAACTATTCCAAAGAGTTGTGACTTTATGCTGTTGGCTTGCTCACCCTGTTGCATGGACTGTCCCAAAGCCACAGGGTTGCTACCTGCAGTCACTTCCTTGCACTCAGCGTCCTGCAGTATGTCAAACGTTGAGTACTCAATGCTGTGCTTCTCCAAGATTCCGATTGCCTTCCAGGACGTCATAGCTGGGAAAAACAAACTATAGTTCGCCTCAACTTACCGCCGCTTGCGTCATGCCCGGACGGGTATCGCAGAGAATAAAGAGATTTCAAAACCAACCCCTCATCTTGATCCAAGGCCACCTCAGCCCCAAAAGGACCCGATTTCTCTATCCTGATCAGCCCCATGATGCCTGTCTGTTCAGAAATGAGAACTGACCCAACCCAAGCCAACTCACAGCACAAAGTCTTTGCGTGCATTCGCCTGCTTTGAGAACTTGCAGAACGGCTCCACCTTGGACCCCTTCATAAACAGCATGACCTTGGCACAGGTGTGGAGCGCTGCAAGAAAAGGTCTTCAAACAAGTCATGCCAAGAGGGCATGTTGATTGCCCCTGCGTCGTGTAAATGCCACAGGGAAGAGTTTTCAGGCTCACTTGCATCTGTCGGTGGCGGTGGACCCTCAGACTACAAAAGCTGGTTGCAGAATCGGTTAAAGGCTATGCGGCATCCATGAGGCTCTGAACAGCTCCGTGTAATTTCCTAGGCTTTTTTCTGCTAGATGCCCACTGTGAAAGCGTGTGATGATTCAAGCAAATCTGTACGTGCAAAAAAGACGAAGTACTTGCGGAAGTGGTTCTGAAAGGCAGAAGTCGATCTGCTGTAGAATGTCACACAAATGTAGACCATCTGAAGTTTCTGACTGCGAAAGATAACGTCGAAATCCGATGAGGATCTGGAAGCCACGCCGCTGGATAGATTGAGCATCTTTCCGATGTAAACCAACATGGAAGCAGGCTTCAGAGCCGCAATTTCAAAAAGAAGGTGCCTCTGATTGACGACGCATCTATCTTGAACAATACGTCAATACGTATTGTGAGAGGGAGGGGTTGCCGAGCAAGCTGAGCCAGAAACGGTGCAGATTTGGCCAACGACACCGCAAGTCACAGAAACAAAAAAAGGTCACACCAATCTCATCAAGCAAACGTAACGTAAAAGCCTACATGCCTCATGATAGCAATAGTTGCATCTCGGCCGTTCTCCAGACCAACATGCATAAGATTTAGTGGCACTCAGGTGACGGCAGGCGAGAAGTTGACCAGGGCCTTGAGCCTGCTCGTCAAGTCCTTCGCCTTGGCTTTATCCAGTCGCCCAGCCGCTGCAAGGTCACACTGGCCCCCGCCGCCATTAGAAAAGGAATATCCTTTATTAAAGGAATGTTCATTTCATGTCCTTGGGGGCCTTGGTGTCAGCAGGGGGCAATGAGGCCGAGGCCGCAGCAGAGTGCAAAGAGTTGCTGGTATTTTGAAGGCTTGAATTCTCGTAAATCACTGAATGATAGCTCTCATGTTGTCATGCGAGTTCATTTCCGCACCCACCATCTAGGAACATATGCTCTTGCAAGCTTAGTCACTTCGCTTGCTTCGTCTGCAACTGCTGCATCGAAAGGACGCGAGGCAAGTGTCTTCACCTGAAACCCGAAACCGCTGCCCCTTGTGGAACGTGAACTGTTTGAAAGCGTGCTATGCTTTGTCACCTTTTCCACAAGCCGTGGTGGGTCTGCTCCTGCGAGGACCTTGGCACCAACAGAAGGGCTTCATAAGGCCTTACCGCAAACTTGGCTTAGCCCCTGGCATCTATCCTGACCCCGCGAGGGGTCATAAATGCTGCGAAAGGCACCTGGCCACGAGCTTGATTGCTTTTAATTCACAATGGAGCGCATACCATTCATACCTTGCGAGGAATTTTTCATAGCACGGAACATGGCAAAGCACCATCTGCACAGATAGTATCGACAAAATGCACTCCCTGCACAGCCGACCCCTGTGCTGAACCAACAATACAAGAAGTTTTTTGCTGGCAGCCTGATCTGCTCCCAAAGCCGTGGCCAGACCAGGACAAACATCTGCATTGGCCTGCACTACAAAGCATTGCGCCAATCTCACCTCCGTTTTAAGCATCCATCCCCCCCTCAACTCTATTCACTTCTACCCCAGCCTAAAACAATAATCTTCTCGACGCAGTATTAATTGCATACAAAGCTTACGTAGTACAGTATGTTGTATACTAGATTATCCCTAAAGAGGCTACATCCCCTAGTCAAACTAAGCTTTGATTTCGGGCCACAAGTCAAGTTCCACATCGCGCTATTGTAAACGCAGAATACATGAGCGCTGTGTTGTCCTGATGTATTGTTGAAGTATCTACTTTAAAGCTACCTTCAATCCCGTGCATCGGTTGGCGGTGAGGCTAATCAAGTGTCGGACATCATGATTCGTTTGTGTAATGTGCTCATGGGTTTGTGTCATTCGTGCATACACATCCAGAGTATACGTGTGTACCCCTCAAGCTCCTAGTATCCTTGTTTGTTTTCCGTTATCCCTTAGGTCCTCGGGTGCTTGCAGGAACTGTTGCATGTCCTTCTCGTACGGCTTAGGCCGGTGTTTCCAAACAAATCAGACTACAACTTACAAATCACCGCAATAGCAGCTTGTGGGAAGATGGACTCGTGGAGCCACCCGCTTTAACGCACTGAGTATGCAGTAGTTTACCAGATCTTGTTGAAGGCGTTGGTGGGTTCTTGATTGCTCTTGGCTTAACTATTGCTGCACGAACTCATACTGTACTGCTACACGAACTCATGGTTTAGCTCCTTCTCAGTTTCGATGTACATGTCCCCTCGACATCCATGTATAGACATGTGCAACCACCAACAGCCGCCGCCGACGGCGCTGCTGCCGCTGCCGCCGCCGCCGCCGCCGCCACCACCACCACCACCACCACCACCACCACCCCGCCAGCACCACCGCCACCCCGATCCAGCGTAGAGTTGCCGCGTTCAGGCTAGTTCTGCTTTCGGACTTGTTGTCCCTCCTTGCATGAATATTCGGAAAATACCAAGGTGCAAGGCACAATAGCAATGATCAGCGCAGCAGGAGCCATATGGCAATGATGCTTGATATACCAATAGCGAACTAGTGTTTCTAATTATGGAAATAAGAGCATGGTGAAGACCAAAGTTATAGTAATACTAACATTGTAGCACATCCCCATCCGAAAATGATGGTATATGATGGTATATCAATGTTCAGGAGAAGAACAGGAAGCAAGAAATCAACAGATCACTGTGATGATGGCACGTATCATATAGCCAATCGTCGCATTTGCAGTAATGATCGTAACGTCTAGACTCCCAAGCAAAATGCAACAGCAATAATACTGTTCATCGCAAACTTGCAAGCGACCATGATGGTACTGATTGTATTGCAAGTCAAAATGGAAAAGCTAGTTTTAGGAACTCACCCTAAGGTAGGAAAGGAAATGACACAGGCGCATATTTGATGCTGTTGCTTTGCGCCAGCGTTGAAATACAGTGTTCCGGATTGTATGGCCAGCACAAATTTTCCTGCACCTCCGTGGAAATGGAGCTGTTGAAAACTTGCATGTTTGAGAGCGTGAAGCTGCTTTATTTGTCGCTAGTTTGCATGCAGCAGCGAGGGGGGGGCACAAGAAACTTTCTGTCAATTTTCAGCTTCGTCATTTTGGAAGTCATCTGGTGTGGAGGGGTCAAAATGACAAACCGTTGAGGTTTCAGTTAAGTCGTCGCAGTCGTTCATAGCTTGTCAAAATGGCTCAATTCACTGCTATGTACAGTACTTTGTAGCCGTTGCATGAAATTGATTGGATTGGGAGGTGTTGCAGGCCATAATCAAGACCGGCAACAGCCCTGGCTAAAAATGTTGCTGCCACCAAACTGAGACATGACCTTCTGTTGACGCTTCAATCTGGTTATTCGGATGTCTTGGTGTCGGTCAGGGTGACGGTATGTTGAACTTTCCGTTTGATCACTATGCTGGGCGATTTACCTTGAGGCAGCCCGTGGTCCAAACAGCATTTGAGGCCCTACCCTCATTGTACATGTCGGGCCCGGGAAATGTACAATCACGCCAACCGGAAATGTACAACATCCGACGGGGAGGGCAATAGCCAGTCAGCATGAGAAGCAGACGCATAGCCTTTGTTCGTTGTGCCTATTGGGGGAATGAGTTGGAGCTGGGCATCGAACAGACTGCCGTACGGCAGTGGAAGAACGTCTGCATGTGCGCGCCCAGAAAATGTAATTGTGAAAACGTGGGTACCGGGTGATCGTTGTACATCAGTTGGGCGGGGGTCTCTGGAGGCCAAGGTTTTTGACGGTCTTGCTCAAGCCTGAAATCCCACGCACTTAAAACGGCATGACAAAACACTGGAAGCGGCGGTAAATTCGGCACTTTGGGACAAGCTACATGTATCACATACATTTTCGTGAAGAGTCGCTATTACCAACCCCGAAAAGACAGGTTGCAAGAAACCCAGCCGCCCCCGTCAGCATTTCTGCTTAAGTGCCCCAAACGGACTTTAAAAAGTGGGTGGACCCAAGACAACTTTAGCGTCAAATACACGATGCTTTCCTAGAAGTAGCAGTAGCAGTAGCAGAAGAAGAGCGGCAGCACCACAACGACAGTCGTCGCAGGAACAAAAGGAAGTCGCAATCGCAGCACGAATATTGAGAATACTGAAACAACTGCGCAGAGTAGCAAGACTGTTTGCCACAGTCAGAATACTGGTCATAATCGTGAAGCGTGATAGCAATCACCACAATACTACTGGTAACTAGAGTCATAAGGCTGTGACAAAAAGAACAATCACACGACTACTGCTCAGAAGCCACAACGCACAAAGGCCAAGAAACACCGACGCCAAGAAGCCAAGGAGGAAGCCAAAACACCCTCTTTCCAACAAATTGAAGTGCGGATTTGGAGACTTGATGATGAGCTGGAATGAAACTTTCAGTCAGAAAATGTGTTGCGCTGGGGAGTCGGCGGTTTCGACAGTGTCTGCGAGGTTGCGCAGGCTTCCACTTTTCTGTGTTTATTTAGGAAGTTCAAACATCCGGAACAAAGACCAACAATAGTGCAGCATTTGAGACTCAGCACTCCAGATACTCCAGCCTTTCGACTGACTCAGAGTCTCTGGTATTTGAGTTTCAGCATGCTCAAAACCTTGCGGCTTGGAGGAAGACCTCTAAACTCAAGTTACTACTCTCTAGCTGGTTAGGATACTCGGCT